CATATGTGATGCATATGTGTTTGCCTAGCATGGAACCAAGTGCATTTAATTTTAACGCAGTTCTTTAAAACCATACGCTTCTTGAAAGCGGGACAGTTGCAGCATTGTATTACATTATTGCATGCATACCTGCATAGTTTTGTGAACTGCATATTGAATAAACTGCATTTGTACATGCTTCCATACATGCGTACCTGATGCTTAGGCCACATGCGTACCTGATCCCTAGACCGTATCCGTGCATGCGTGCCCGAGGCCTGGGCCCCATCCGCGCATGCATGCCCGAGGCCTGGGCCCCATCCGCGCATGCTTGCCCACTTGCTTGCGTGAACTACGTACTGGTATAATTTGCCTACTTGTATGCCTATATACCTGCATAGCTGCATCGCTTAACTGTAGATCAAGATGGCTTTGGACATATATCCCTGCAGGACTGCATAGTTAGATGACAATATATTTTCTGCCTCCCTTTACTTAAAAGGTCCCAAAAGAGGTAGCCAGCAGAGAGGCAGGTACACCGCCCTCAGGCCCAGTGGACTCTGGGAGGGGGGGGTCTGGCGGTGTTTTACATTTCACAATAAACCAGTGCATGGTGTCAGGGGTACCTGGGCCACTGTGTTTGTCTGGTATTGCAGCTATTCCTGGTGGCAAAGCTGCTATGGGCTATGGCCGCATTACCCTGTACACGCCTGATCTCGTCTGAACTTGGAATCTAATCAGGGTCAAGCCCTGGTTACTACTTGTAAGCTTTTGAAGGTTTTTGAATTTTATTGCTTCCTGGAGGGCTCTAATACAAGACAAGTGGGTCATTTCCACGATTTTTCTGGGGTACAAATTAGAATTTCAGATCTTAACCTCAACCTCCATCTCCAACGCCCCCGGTTTCTAAAACCCAAATGTACCGATGAATCCAGAGAATAGCTTTGTTACAGGCACTCGATCTCCTATTGTCTCGGGGTGATTACCGAGGTTCCAGCGGACGAAAGGTTTTCAGTGGTTTTATTCAAACCTGTTCAGTCCAAAAAACCACATGGGGATGTAAAGCCCATTTTGGACCTCAAGGGGCTGTATCAGTTTTTAAATGCCTGGTCTTTTGGTATGGAATCAGTTTGGTTAGTAGTAGTCTTTTACAGGTAGATTTTTTTTTTTTTTTTTTTTTTTTTAGCGTCCGTAGACATAAAGGACACATACATGTGCCAATATTCATTCCAGTTCATAGCACTACTTTTTGGGCTGGTTGCGGCTCAGGAGTTTTAAAAACAAATGCTTACTCCGGTGTTGGGGCTGCTCAGAACTCAGGGGTATCGATCATAGGTTATGTAGACTATCTGTTGCTTAGAGGTCGGTTGGTGCCAGGTCTGAAGCAGGATGTGGTCCTTACTATGCAGATCATGGAACAGCTGGGTGTTCAACTAAAAAGTCGGTCCTGGAGCCAGTACAGAGCCTGGCGTATTTGGGGATGGTCCTAGACATGGTTCAGGCAATTTCTACCTTCAGGAATATGTTGCGCCCTGAGGAATAAGGTTTGCAGTTTAAAAGCCAAGAGATATCCTTTGATTTGCCTCTGTATGAGGTTGCTGGGAAAGATGGTGTCCTCATTCAAGGCTATTCTCTATGCCCAATTCCACTCCAGACTGCTGCAAAGGAACATTCTGACTGTGTGGAATAAAAGAATGTTCAGTCTTTGGATTACTGTATGTCCCTGTCTCCAGAGGTAATGCAAAGCCTGAATTGGTGGTTTATGACAATTTGAAACTAGGGAGATCCTTTTAGCCAGTAGTATGGAAACTGGTAACCACCGATGCTAGCCTCTCAGGTTGGGGGGCTGTCCTGGAGGAAGCCACAGTTCAGAGAATGTGGCTTCCACGGGAAAAGTTTCTACCCATCAATGTCCTGGAACTTCGGGCAGTGAGGCTGGCTCTGAGGTATTGGACATACAGGCTTCAGGGTTGACCTGTAAGGATTCAGTCCGACAATGCCACAGCAGCAGCATACATAAACCACCAGGGTGGTACTAGGAGTCGAGGGGCTCAGGAGGAGGTGCATTACATTCTGACAAAGATATGTTCCAAGTTTGTCAGCGGTGTTCATTCCGGGTGTAGAAAATTGGCAAGGGGATTATCTCAGTCGCCAGCGGGTGAATCCAGTGGAATGGGCTTTGTATCCCAAAGTTTTCAAGGGAATCTGCCAGCGAGGGGGTTGCCCAGACGTATATCTGTTGGCATCCAGGTTCAAGAGGGTCGGTCTTTGTGTCCTGGGTAAGGGACCCTCGTACAACAGGAGTTGATGCCTTAGTGATTCCTTGGATCCAGTTTTCACTGATTTATGCCTTTCCTCCAATTCAGCTGCTGCCACGTCTCTTAAGCAGGGTTTGGGAGGAGTCAATTCCGGTGATACTGATTGGCCCAGGAGGAGATGGTGAAGATGGTAGTAGACGGGCCGTGGTTCCTGCCATGTCAGCCAGACTTGCTGTCTCAAGGTCTTATATTACACCCAGCTTTACTGTTGCTAAATTTGACGGCATGGCTATTGAAACCCAGATCTTAATGGATAGGGGAGTATCGGGTTCTGTTATCCCCATCATGTTTGGGGGCTAGAATGGTAGTCTCTAGGAACATTTATTATAGAGCTTGGAAGGCTTACATTTCCTGGTGTGAGGTCCGTAAATGGCACCCTCGAAAGTATGTGATTGATGGTATTCTGCCGTTTCTTCAAACAGGGCTGGAGAAGAAATTGGCTGTTGGTACCATTAATGGCCAGGTTTCAGCATTAGCTGGGTTTTTTTTTTCCCCCATTGCTTCTCACGCTTTGGTTCGCACTTTTTTTAACACAGATTATTGCATATTACTCCTCCTGTCAGGTTTTGGAGGTTTTTCAAAAACCATTTGAACCTGTTAGAGAGATTCCACTGGTCCTGTGAATTCATAAGGTTTTGTTTCTAGTGGCAATCACTTCTGCAAGAAGGATTTCAGAGCTGGCAGCTCTTTCTTGCAGAGAAACATTTCTAGTTTTGCATCATAAGGTGGTGTTGCGACCTCAACGGGCTTTTTTTTTTTTTTTTTTTTTCACCAAAGCTAGTTTCTAGTTTTCAGCAGGACATCGTTCTGCCTTCATTCTTTCCTAGACCTCAGTCAGCAAAAGAAAGATCTCTGCATACCTTTGATGTGGTATATGCTGTAAGGGTCTTCTTGAAGGTGACGGCACAGGTCAGGTCAGATGCTCTGTTAGGGCTACCAAAGGGGCCTAGGAAGGGGCAGGCGGCATCCAAGGCGACTATTTCACATTGGATCCACCAATTGATCATTTAAGCCTATGGTTTGGTCTATGAAAGGTACCACTCTTTTGAGTGAAGGCACACTCTACCAGGAGTGTGGGGGCATCTTGGGCAATCTGCCATCAGGTGTCAGTGGCTCAGGTCTGCAAGGCCGCTACATGGTCTTCTGTTCACACATTCACAAGGTTCTACCAGGTGGATGTCAGAGCCGCAGAGGATTCTGCCTTTGGCCGCAGTTTTTTTTTTTTTTTTTTTTTTTTTTTTTTTTCACAGACCGCTGAGTAGTTCCTGAGGGATTATTGACAGTGGCTATCATGGTGTCACCCTCCCCTCAAAATTCTTTATTGCTTTGAGACATCCCAGATAGTCATGAATAGTCTGCTCTGTGTCCCGTGATGTACGATAAAGAAAACTGGATTTATTTTCTACATACTTGCCTGTAAAAATCAATTTCTTGGAGTACATCATGAGATACAGAGGTCCCTCCCCTCTTTTTGGGATTTCATTGCTTCATACAAAAACTGAAGTACTTCCTGTGTAGGAGGGGTTATATAGGGGAGGACTTCCTCTCCGTTTGGTCTGCCAGTGTGCATTCAACTAATAGGTGGCATATAACCAACATTGTCATGAATAGCCTGCTCTGTCCCGTGATGTACTCCAAGAAATGGATTTTACAGGTAAGTATGTAGAAAAGAATCCAATTTTTATAGGCCATCAGTTGTGACTGAACCAACTGATATTTGCACTGAAAAGGGGATTGTTTTCTAATTGCTGATATATTTCAGCTGGTGTCTTGACTTTCCATGCCTTTTTTGCATCTCCCTTTCTTTATTTATTATAGGTACTTGTATAGCGCCATCAATTTACGCAGGGCTTTACATATTATTGAATATTGCATATTCTCATCAGTCCCTAACCCTCAAGGGGTGTACAATCTAAGGTCCCTAACTTACATTCATACATACACATATTAGGGCCAATTTAGACAAGATCCAATTAACTTACCAACATGTCTTTGGAGTGTGGAAGGAAACTGGAGTACCAGGAGGAAACCCATGCAGGCACAGGGAGAACATGCAAACTCCGGGCAGGTGGTGCCGTGGTTGGGATTCGAACCAACGACCCTAGTACTGCCAGGTGGAAGGGCTAACCATTTAGCCACTGTGCTGCCCCATTCAATTTTATTACACAACTTAATTTCTGAACATGTTTTATTTTGGTTCCTTTGCATGTATGGATTGCATGGGATGTTACTGACATGAAATTTTCATGTCATGTATGTATAGAGATCTATTCTATTATATTAAAATATAGTGTGTGTGTGTGTGTGTGTGTACGTATGTTCAGTTGTTTGTTTTTTTGGGGGGGGGGGGGGGTTTCTTTTTTTTTTTTTTTTTTTTTGAGTATTTCATTTCTATTTTAAACTGAATAGGTTGTTTTGCAAGGTGAGGGTTTACATATACTTTAAGGAATGCTGCCGGTAGATTGATGTATGATATGGAGTATATAAACATGAAAACAATGGTGAAAGAGAAAATGCAGTGCAATATAAACTTTAGAAGAAAGCCAATCTGCATGCAATTCCTCCTTCCATTACGAAATTGTATGTTTTTTTTTTTTTGTTTTTTTTTGTTTTTTTAATATAATATAAAAATAGTAAATATTTATATTTTGTAGAATGGTAAGCTGGAAAAACATGACAAATGTATTTTTTATTTCACTTTAGCGGTGGCTAAAACAAGCTTTGGAGGAGGAAAATTCTGCACCTCTGAATCCATTTGATTCTCTTTCTCAAGATCGATCTCAAAGCCCCAGTACATTTGCAGAAAATAAGTGCCACTTAGTAATGAATGGCAGTTGTCCATTGACAGGTGAGATTAATTTCTATGTGTATGTACTGTATGTATGTGTATGGATTATTGGATTAGTAATGCTCTTTCAAATAGCTGTGAGTGTGCAGACCTTCATGATTACTTGTTTGATATTCTGTACAGTGTGCACCTAGGACTTTTTTTCATCTAGTGTGCATTTTTTTGTAACACACTATTCACAGGAATTATAACAGAACTACTCACTTTTTTCAGTGCATCTATACAGTTGAACTTGGCTCTCATTGTTTGGCTTCAACACTTAGACTGAGAGAGAGCGCAGACAGGTAGCCAACTATCAATTTCAGAAATCAAGCAATGACAGTCACCCATATATCTTAGAACAGGTGTCATTTTAAAACAATGTGCGGGTTTGGCTGTTTGAATTATATGCTAAATACTGTCTTGGTGTTCTGTTTGTCTAGAAATATGACTTGTTTGATTATATCTGTTTTTGTATTTTTTTTTTTCTTCAATTAAATTTAGACCTAACAACCCCTTTGAAAAAAAGGAGATTGTATCACTTGGACTGTTCGTACTCAGAAAATTCTACACCTACTGCATCACCTTATGCAACACCAACACGTATAGATATGCCTTCTACAGATGCAACACTGTTCAATACTCCTCCCAGGATAAAGGTAGAGGATGAAACTTGTCGTAACAGTTACAAGCAAACTTATTCACCGGTTACTCCTGTAACAACCTGTGTCCGTGGAAATCACTTGCATTTTGAGGTAAGCAGCTTATAAACCCTACATTTTCTCTTTGCAGTCATAAGAGGATTAGTTGGTCGTAATCTTGTATTTCACTTTGCTAGTATTTATTGAAATGGTATTTAGTGGAACATTTTAAAGGAAGACTGCTATCAGTTTGAAGTTATGCAGCAACGCTTCCTTGATCTTTCCAGTTTGGTTCCTTTCTATTTCGATCCTGCCTTTAGTGTTCGCAACAAGAGCTTGTGTCCAAAACAGACCAAACTGCTGCAGCAGATGTGATATCACATTTTCCCTACCTGCTGTAAACAACTAACAAGCTGTCTGGTTGGGCCAAGCAACCTATATTTCACTTACCTTTCCACAGTTCAAATATTTAAATAGAACAGTGGTCATTGATGAGCATAATGCTAAACTGTGCACTTTTTTTTGCATAAAATAGCCCTCAGTTTACCTTTGTGTGAAGGAGCAGAAACTTACCTCCATATTATTGGACATGTCTAGTACAGCAAAACAGTGTTCAGTAAAAGTGGGATATGCCTTATGAGTTTCAGTAACTATTTGAGATAGAGATAAAATATCCTTAGATTTGACAGTCTACACCACAGGTGTCTGAGCAGCAGCTTAGGATTCTTTTTGAAGTGACTTCCGAAAGTCTCTCAGGTTGTGTGAATAGCTACCTTTCTAACCACCTGCTGCAAAATTTGCTCCTGTGATTAAGAATTCAAGCAAAATTTACCTGGGTTTTGCTGATTCATTGACACATTTTAAATCTCCCCCCCCCCCCCCCCCCCCCCCCCCCCATCCCCATTTGTGTGTGGCTGAAATGCCTGGTTTTTTTAAATTGGCTTATAAAGTTTGAAACATTGGTGAGTCTGACATACACAGATAATGTAGCTTGTAGGAGAATGTAACATTTTACTTGATTGGTATGTGTTTTTTTTTTGGATTGTATGATTTATTTACTTTCACTCATTTTCAGAGCATTTCTTCACCAGAAAGTTCTCCTGAGCTAAACAGAAGATCTAATGGCCAGGAGGTATGTTTGTTTTTAAGCTTGTGTTCTGTTTAAGTGTGCATTTATCCTTCCTAACAAAGTTAAGATGTACAGCACTAACAACACACAGATACCTAAGGCCCCATTCACATCTGAGTGTTTTTTAGTAACGTTAAACATTAAAAACCATTGTTTTAATTGGTGTCTGGTCACACCTGAGCACTCGCTTCTATTCAGGCATGTTTGGGTGCTTTTAGTCCTAAATATTTCAATGGGAGTGCCTGAAAAAAAACACGTTTTATGCATGTTTTTCAGCCACTAGTCTAGGAAGTCTGTGGGGCCAAAAATATGTACTCTTTTCTAAAAGAAGGTCCTGTATGACATGTCACTTCTAAAATGCATGAAAAATTGCTAATGCAGATGCTGCCCTGACTCTTCCGGTCCCCCTAAGCCATGTTGGAACACCCACCCCTCCTTGTTGGCTCTTTACATCTCCCCTCCCCCTCCCACTTGACACCTGTTCTCTCTTACTTGGCTGCGTAGGCACCCATGCATATTATCCAATTGTCCAATTCCACTATGAGGGTGTACACGCCCAATGCCTTCTTAATTATTTCCACTATGTGGGTGTACACACCCAATGCCTTCAATGTTTTTGGCAGTTTACTTGTTGACAATCACTTTAACAATATCCATTGCATGCAGAGTTACTAGCTCATTTTTGTTAGTCGTTGAGCATAAAGGTTGACCCCTGTACACTGACCACAATAATACTGTAACATATTTCTGTGTCATGCCTTATTGTTAGAACTTCTGTCTTCTCTCTTCTGTATGCCATGATTATATGAACTAGTAAACTTAAATTGAACTACAATCACCAGAATACACTTCGGTCAAGTGTGAATGTGAATTATTTTTAACTCCTGGGGTGCTAAAATCGCCTACCTAGAAACAGACTGTATCTCCCTTGGAAAGGTGTTTAGTATTGTTTAGATTTCTCAGTGCTGCAGACTCAAGTCTGCCTTCTGAGAAGATTCCAAAAAGCACAGAAATACTATTTAATATTTCAGAAACTTTGATCATAATACACTATATTGCCAAAAGTATTGTAACACCCTCCAAATCATTGGATTTAGGTGTTCCAATCACCTCGATGGCCACAGGTGTATAAAACCAAACACCTAGGCATACAGACTGCTTCTACAAACATTTGTGAAAGAATGGGTTGCTCCTCAGGAGCTCAGTGAATTCAAGCGAGGTACTGTGATAGTTTGCCACCTGTGCAGTAAGTCCATCCGTGAAATTTCCTTGCTACTAAACATTCCACGGTCAACTGTCGGTGGTATTATAACAAAGTGAAAGCAACTGGGAGCAACAGCACTCAGCCACGATGTGGTAGGCCATGTAACATGACAGAACGGGGTCAGTGCATGCTGAAGCGCACAGTGTGCAGAAGTCGCCAACTATATGCAGAGTCAATAGGTGAAGACCTCCAAAGTTTGTGTGGCCTTCAGATTAGCACAACAGTGCATAGATAGCTTCATGGAATGGTTTTCCATGGCTGAGCAGCTGCATCCAAGCCTTACATCACTAACTGCAATGCAAAGCATCCGATGCAGTGGTCTAAAGCACGCCACCACTGGACTCTAGAGCAGTGTTGACGTGTTCTCTGGAGTGACGAATCGCGCTTCTTTGTCTGGCAATCTGAGGAGTGTGTCTGTGTTTGGCGGTTGCCAGGAGAATAGTACTTCGATTATGGTGTGGAGTAGTTTTTCAGGGGTTGGGCTTTGGCCCCTTTGTTCCAGTGAAGGGAACTCTTAATGCGTCAGCATACCAAGACATTTTGGACAATTTCATGCTCCCAACTTTGTGGGAACAGTTTGGGGATGGGCCCTTCCTGTTCCAACATGACTGCGCACCAATGCACAAAGCAGAGTCTATAAAGACATGGATGAGCGAGTTTGGGGTGGAGGAACTTGACTGGCCTGCACAGAGTCCTGACTTCAACCTGATTAGAACACCTTTTGGGAGGAATTAGAGCAGAGACTTGCGAGCCAGGCCTTCTTGTCTGACACCAGTGCCTGACTTCACAAATGCATTTCTGGAAGAATGGTCAAACATTCCCATAGACACAGTCCTAAACCTTGTGGGCAGCCTTCCTAGAAGAGTTGAAGCTGTTATAGCTGCAAAGAGTGGGCCAACTCAATATTGAACCCTACAGACTAAGTCTTGGATGTTCATGTGCCTGTAAAGGCAGGTGTCCCAATACTTTTGGCAATATATTAGTGTTTATTGCGTGGCGAGGCAATGTATTAAGAAGCCTAGTTTGTATAATTTTCTTTCGTGTCCTTTGAGGGGCTCAGGAATTCTTACTGTCGGTATGCAGCTACCTACAGGAGAAATGGACACTGGCAATAAAGGTTGGCCAGCACAGGATAACTCAGTTCACAACTATCATGCCTCAGTTTTTTGCTAGTGACTTCAGGAGAGTAGACATGTTTTCTTCACCTTTGTTGTTTTGTTTGGAAGATTTTTTACGATCAACAGATGCTAGTAAGTTCATGTGGTATACAAGTTACATTATAAATAGTCTCTCAAATTTTTTTCTCCACTTTATACTGTTATTCTCCCTGCTGTGGCCTATCCTCTACAACTACTGATTCAGATTGCACATGGAACAGCTCTCCATTTAACCAAGCAGAGCACGATTAGTTCAGTATCTACACTGGTGTTCTATTGTGACTGTCCTGCCATCAGCAGTGAATACTTATCCATGTTCCTGTTCAAAAAGGACTTGGATATTTAGGCCTATCCAGTATGCCTGGGAACACTTGAAATACCTTTCAGTCTCAGGGAACCCCTGATAAAAATGACTATATCTACAACTCATGATACATTTGTGATGGTCAGTGGGAAAAATGCTCATTACACTGGTGGTCATAGGGGAGAATTATCCCCTTATAAATGGCTAAAAATGGTGTTGGTGGGAAATTATCTGAGATGCAAAAATTGCTCCGAGAACTCCTGGTAACCTGGAGGATCTCTAATTGAGAAACCCTGCCTTTATGGAGTTATCGGTCCTCAGCTGATGCAATTTTCCTGTCGCCGCCTCTGCAACTCATTGTTGTCATGGTCATAACAGGCTTATTATGGGTTGGGGTTTCCTTGGTTTAATACTGAGGCAATTTGAGCTGACTTTTTTTCCTTTGCATGCTTATACATGTGTTCTTTGCAAGTTGGCCATATGAGAGAATCTGTCTCTTTTTGTTTGAGCCATACAATAAGAACGGTTTACAGTTTCAATTTTCCCACACTATCCTTCTCAGCTGTACTTTTTGACAGTCCAAAATCAGCAGGGAGTGCACATGAAAGCAGGCTTGTTTAGTGAAAAAAAAAAAAAAAAGTATGAATGGGATAAGTGTTTGCAAACCTGATGTCTTTTAGTGTGCACATGGTCTATTTTTGGAAGCGGACAGGATTCTGAATTGGTTTATACCTGTAATACCTTCTCTACAAGCATGCATGCTCTATGTTGATGCATCCTGCACACAGTGAAATTGCACTCTGTGCTAACTGAGACCGTATGACAGACCACTTGCAGAATGTACTCTGTTCCTTTGTAGGTTGAGTAACAGATCAGTCAGACTGAACTCTACTAATGCAGGCTAAGTAACAGATCACTCAGATTGTAGTCTCTTCTGATGCAGGTTAACAGTTGGGCAAATTTTCTTAACCAGCAGCTCCTTGATCCAGGGGGGCATCCACTGGATCCATCTAGACCCATGCAAGTTTGCCATTTGCAGCTCATATAGGTACAAGTGGATAGAAATGGAGTAGAGCAGAAACAAAAAAGAAACCAGGCTAAAAGATATGACGGGGAAAAGAGTTGCACACCTGTGATGCAGGTAAACAAAAAGAGAGCAGGAACAGGGAGAAAGGAATCGGCCAGAAAGGAGGAGAGGGACAAGGACTCGGGAGCACCGGGACTGCCCATCAGAGTAGGCCCAAGCTAACTGGAGGGAGAGTGGGAAAGGCGATTTTAAGAAACAGCCTGAGAGTCATTTTGTATCCTAGACACCTGTTCGTTGGGTATCAGAACAGTCATACGATCCTGCACCCCCTGGAAGGTGGACTGTTTTTTCCAGGCTTGGGCTATCGTTCTGGTGGCTGACAGAAAAAGTTAGGAGGAGAGCTTCTGCTAATGAGTAAACAAACGTGGTATGGGGCAGTGTAATAAGGCAAACTTGGCCTCTTTATGTATAGGTAGATGGAACAGAGTAAAGAGGCCAAATAAGCAGTACCAAAACCCAATCAATTTAGGGCATGTCCACCATGTTTGTATAACATCACCTCGATGGCCACAACCCTGAGAACAACAGTTACTGTAGGATGGATTTGCATGAGTGATACGGGCTGGAACCCAGTGCCAGCATAGTAGCACCTTATAGCCTCCTCCAAGGTAGCTGTGTTAAATGAGCATTTAGCTGCAGAAGACCAAGCTTTGCTCTAGTCCGCTAGGTTTATTTCAACTGCCAGATCCCTGTTCCCATTGAGTAACATAGGAAATGGAAGTGTGAGAAAGGCAACTGTTCAAAGAAGCATAGAGGGCAGAGATAAGACCTGGAGAACCTGGGTAATACTGGCATGTGTGCTCAAAGGCAGTTTTCTGGACTGGGTATGTGGAAGTTTTCTGGACTGGATATGTGGAAGTTTCTATGTAATGAGGTGAGACAATGCTGTAATTGGAGATAATAGAAGAACTCTGACTGAGGGATGTCATGGGTCTCCTGAAGAAGCCCATGTAGGAAAGGACCTGAAGGTCAGAAAGGGTTGAACGTGAGAGAGTCCATTGGCCACCCACCAAGAAAACGCCTGTGTTTGTTCCAAGCCCGGTGAAAAAAGAGAATTGTTGGTTATAGGGAGCAAGGGCACAAAAGGTGACATGAGACAGCCTGAGTCCCATACTTGTAGGCTATGATGCATAAGCGGACTCTGTGTCACCGGGCGGTGGTTAGAAGGAGCCAGAGAAGTGTTGAGATGACAATAGGGTTACAATTGGGGAGCTCCAGAAGAACTCCATAAGGAAACATTGACTGAAGCAAAGATAAATATTTATTTTTTTTTTTTAATCTCGAAATGGGGGGCATTCCTGAATCTGGGTGTACAGTGAGGCTTACGATGACTACTTTCCATATGATCTATCATCAGACATGGAAGGTTAATTTGGTAGATGTTTGTCGAGGATTCCACGCTTGGAGTTTCTCTGTTGGACAAATCCTCTTCTTCCTGCAGCTGGGTTTGGACTAGCATCTGGCTCTCAGCACTTCATAGGCCAGGTTTCTACATGGGTTATCTTTTAAAGACCGATGATCTTTCATTTTTTTATTTTGACATTTGTACAGCAAGTCTACTGTATAGCCTCCCTGTTTGTTCCCTTGTGACGCTGGTATCTGAATCTGGATCTCCGTTTGTCAAACACCACCACATGCACTGATTAGACAAATTCCTCTTTCTACTCTCACCCATAAGGTGGTGTTTCCTGTAGTGCTCACCTGTGTAAGGAAAGTGTCTGAACTGGCAGCCTTATCCTGAATTTCTGGGATAATGTGGTGTTGAGGCCCAGGACTTCCTTCTTAATGTGATTCTGTGCACCTGGAGATGTCTGTAATCACTGTGTCCTACGGATACAGCTGATCATGTGATGTGGTAAAAGGCCAATCACAGCGGCCTTTTACCACTTGATCAGCTGTGTCCAATGACACAGCAGATCACTGGGTAAATGCAATTGTCGGCTGCACTTTCCTCATGCTGTCACAGCGTGAGGAAAGTACTGCTGATAACCGGCAATTGTCCTAAAACATATCGTCACTGATGATCAATGCCCAGCAGTGCCACCCACCTGTACCTATCAGCGCCGCCTATCCGTGCAACCTCACCAGTGTTGCTTATCCGTGCCGCCTATCAGTGCAGCCTCATCAATTCACATCAGTGAAGGAGAAAAATTACCTGTTTGCAAAATGTTATAATAGAAACAAAGAAAAACTTTTTTTTTTCTTTCAAATTTTTTGCTCTTTTTTTTTTTTTTTGTTTATAGAGCAAAAAAATAAAATGCCCAGTGGGGATTAAATACCACCAAAAGAAAGCTCTATTTGTGTGAAAATTAAAAAAAAAAAAGTCATATGGGTACAGTGTTGCATGGCCGCGGAATTGTCCTTCAAAGTGCGACAGCGCTGAAAGCTAAAAATTGGCCTGGGCAGGAAGGGGGTATAAGTGCTCAGTAGGCAAGTGGTTAAGCTTTTCATGAATGGAGGAGGTGCGGAGCGAGCACATCAGTGATCAGTGTATTGCAAACAAAACTACAAGTCTCTGCTCCAGACGTTCAATGCCAGAAGAAAACTACTGCCTGAGTAAGATATGTAACAAATGCTGCAGCCTGCAGAGATGGGGCACACTTTCTTAAGATAATTTTGGGATTACTGAAAACCGTCATGCTCATCTAGGTGGATGCAGCATCTGTTCAATGCTGTATCTGTCCTGCTCCACCTCTAAGACCAAGAACTGAGCAAACAAAGACCACCGATTGCTTATTTCTCAGACCTCAGTGAGCAGAGATCGCTCTGCTCTGCCCCTCCAGCATTCACTGAAGCACCAGGCTATGGAGGGGGCAGGAACAGCAGGTTCATGCTCTCAGCAGCTCGCTGTCTTTTTAAATTTGCAATCTTTTCTGGATTTGCACAGTGACATCAGCCAACAGCAGTCCACTGGCGGCTGAAAGCTTAGTTTTTCTTGTTTTTTTGTGGTCGTATGTCAACTGAAATGCAACTCGGTATTTGTCTTTCGTACACAAATATTGTATTTGTATCTCTTCTCTTATTTTAATAGTTTTTGCATCACAATAGATTTTTATTATTTCCATGGGCTATATTGTACATTTTATAGGTATATAACTTATATTGGTGAATATGTATGTGTACATATGTAGTATGCTTGTATTTACTGCTGTTGTTTAAAGAGCATTTCAAATGTATTTAATACAATGCTGATAAAGTATCTAACCTATGGCAAATGCATGAAAAGGTTTGCCCTCCCCTGTCTTCTGCTTATTGAATTGTTTCCTTTCCAGAAGGGCACTCTCCAGAATTTAATTCCTCAGCGTGTGTTTTTTTTTTATTTCTTTTGTTAACAGGCTAATGAACGGGCAGCATCAACTCTGGCGATGAACTCTTTCAGAAATTCTAACTTGACTGAAATGGGATTGCAGGAAATAAAGACTATAGGTTACTCTAGCCCACGGAGCAGGACAGATTTAAACAGACAGTGCCCGTCAGAAAGTGAGTCTGTACCAGATCATCATTTAGCGCTTGAACTGAATGAACAGGCTGCATTGCAGAAAAATATGGAGTCTCTGTCTCGGGATAGGACTGATTCAAGCAGCCAGCAGGAAACTGCTCACTGTGGACGAGGCACTGTGTTTTCTTCTTGGATAAAAAGCCCTGAAAGGACAGGAGTGAACTTTTCTGCAGTTAATTCAAACTTAAGAGACTTGACTCCATCACACCAGCTGGAGGTTGGTGGTGGATTCCGGATGAATGACTCTAAGTGCCTAATTCAAGAGGATGCCCGAACCATGTTTATGGATGGTTCTATATTTTGCCCCTCAGACGAAGGACTTATGACTGGATTTGGAAGAGCACTTAGTAGTGATGGTGTTCTAGATGGAAATGGAACACATTTAAATCCTCCGCAAAAGAAAAAGGTTAGAATTATTTATTTTTTTTTAAAGTAATGTGTATGTTTGGGTTTTTTTAATTGAGATTAAAAATTTCTAACCTGCATCCACCAAGATCCCTTGCTGTCCATAGTTTAGCTTTGCTAAAAGACTGTGGATACATTAATTTGGCTCTTGTGGCTTACCCTGTTTATATCCAGGTTAAGTTCAGTTTAATTTAGCTCTGTTGGAAGTGATTTACCGGCAAAACTTTTTTTATTCTGTCAAGAGTATGTGATATGTCGGGGATAAAATAGAAGTGTAGTAAGTAGAACTTCTGTAAAGTGAGGCGTGCCATTATCTTAAAAAAAAAAAAAATCCTCTGCCATTCTAGGCTCCATGCACACTTGCTTAAAAAACCGCTGTTCCTAAAGGAGTTTAGCGTTTTTGCCTGAAGCAGAAGCAACTGTTATCCTATGTGTTCATGCACATTAGGTAGTCTAGAGGCTTTTTTTAAGCTTAGCATTGGGTCAGAAAAAAAAACCCTTCAGGTTTGTGTTTGAGAGCGTTTTTTGGGGCAGAAAAAATGCTAAACGCTCTTAAATACTATTACAAAAAAATGCTCAAAATTTAGTGTTTTTTTTTTTTTTTTTTTTTTAAAGCCACTGTGCTTGGAGCCTTAAATAGACTATTGGAAAAACACCATTATTTCATACTTTTGCAGCAATATTTTATAGATTAATTTCCCTGTATGTAGTTTCAGTACATTTTTACACTAAAGTACCAATAGTATCAGAAGTACTCTGCTGTTAATGCAGACAAAGGAATAATGACAGGTGTTAAGACCAATGTTGGAGGGGGGGGTCCTGTCTAGACCGCATTGCGAAGAAGCGGACAGGGCATGTTTGTGGCGTCTGAGAACTTGTTAGGCCTCTGATTTCTCCTATGTGTATGGCAGAAGGTGATGACATGAAAAAAGTTTTGTCTTTAGATATACACTAAGCACTTCTTAACAAGATGCAAACCTATATCCCTGCAAACTAAGTAGGCTCCTTGTGTTTGTTGTTGGACTTTATCTGCTTTGTAAACCTGCCTTAAATGTATGGCATTATATCAATGCAACTTTATGCAGGTATCCTTGTTAGAGTACCGAAAAAGACAACGTGAAGCAAGAAAGAGTGGCTCAAAACCAGAAACTTTGTCCTTGGTAACACTTTCCCCACATCCTGAGAGTGGAAATCTTGTCATGAGTTGTGTTGGTGAAAACTGCAGCAACATTGTCGACAGTGTGGAGCCAAGTGAGAATGTAGCTAATATGACTGCACCACTGCCAACTGAAGCCCAGAATATCTCCACAGAAGATACAGACCAAAATTCTCCAGAAATAGATGCCACCTCGAGTGAGAAAAGTGATCCAGAGGTGCAGTGGTAAGTATGTTATCACCATTTTAAAGGGCATCGCAGGAACAGTGTTTAGACTTTTTTGCATCTATATATTTGTATCAAACGCACACTGCTCTGATATAAAGGAGTAATACAGAATTTAAACTTGTGATAATTGTGTGTGGCAACTCAGATTTCAGCTTTGTTCTGTGGACCACTTCACTTCAGGTGCAGTTTTTTTTAATTTTTCGCACACACGTTAAAATCTGCATTTCTTGCTAGAAAATTACTTAAACTGACAAAATTATATATTTTCTGAAAGCAGAGACCATGTTTCTGAAATCGATATTTTCAGAAAGAAATGCACTAACCTCAAGATTGTAATTGTACTGGACACAGGACTTGTATTCATGGACCATGGTTATTGTTTTTCATTTTCTTTTTAAGGTTACTTCACTGCAGGCCTGGACAAATCCTAGGCGCCAGGTCGCCATGGCGACTAAAAAATTTATGCTGGCGTCTGGGATTTTCAGTTCCTGCTGTGCGCTTACAGGGGACGGTTGCCAGGCAGAGGTGAGAGCGCCAAGCATTCACAAATGTGCTTACACAACTTCTGGCTCTTCCGGAGAATCCAGGGCGATCATGTCACAGCTTACCTGGACAACCTCCTACTGAAAGACTCCTCAGCCACAACCTCCGTGACCAACATAGAACAGTTCAGTTTCTTCCAATATTTGGCTGTATAATCAACTTTTCAAAATCTGCTCTCTAGAACTCAGTCTTGTGTACCTGGGTCTAAACTTGGAAACGGGCCAGTCAGAATCTTTCCCAGGAAAAGAACATTTATTCTTCCAAAATATGACAAGCAAATCGCCCTACATTGCCTGGATGTGGTCAGGGCTGTCAGACTTCAATGGATGGCAGGTGAGTCATCAGGGAGTCAAATAGACCCCTGATGTCTCAAAGAGAACATATCACAACAAATTTGTATCACATGGGTGGGAGACTTTTTCCCGTGTGATATAAAGTTTCAGTGAAAAAGGTGCAAATAGGGTATCTCCAAGCTTTTAAACTCCCCAGAACATTTTTGAGCCTGCTTACACCCCCTCCCCATTTATGAAACTGACGATTGCGCTTCACATTTTGGGGCCACACATGCTGACAATTTTAGGGCCAATAATCATGGTTAACTCTAAACTGGTGACCTGTGGGGGCTTTTAAAGTGGCAAAATATAGGTCACTGAAGTTTGTCAGCATTTCACAGGCATGCCCAATTTTAGGGTTGAGATGTTGGTTATTTATTCAGCACTACCTCATCTTTTAAATGTAACAAAATTAGTAATATGTTGCGTTTGTGTGTTTATTAGTGTATTTTTATTGAAATTTTGCACTTGATAAACCATTGTATGTATGAAATAAAAAAAAAATTGGAATACCATTATTTAATTATCCAGGGTCTCTGCTTTAAGAAAATGTATGCCATTTGTGAGTTTTAACTAATCTTAAATGTTTTGTTACGTATGTGTGTGTGCAAAAAACATAAAAATGTCTCTGACAGCAAAAGGATTAACTACTTTAATACCGGCACTTTCACCCCCCTTCCTGCCCAGTCCAATTTTCAGCTTTCGACACTGTCACACTTTGGATGACAATTGCGCAGTCATGCAACAGTGTACCCATATTAAATTTTTATCATTTTTTTTTCCACACAAATAAAGCTTTCTTTTGGTGGTATTTAATCACCACTGGGTTTGTTTTTTGCCAAGTGAGCCAAAAAAGACTGAAAATTTGGGGAAAAAAAGTGTTTCTTTCAGTTATAAATTTTCGCAAATCTTTCTTCATAAGTTTAGGCCAAAATGTATTTTGCTACGTTTCTTTGGTGAAAATAACCCAAATCAGTGTTTATTATTTAGTCTCTAGGAAAATTATAGAGTCTACTATGGTATATATCTGAAAATCAATCAGTCCTGATGTACTGACGGCCTATTTAATTTCATGAGGTCCAGAAATGCCAGTACAGTACAAATACTCCCAAATAAGCCCTTTTTGGAAAGTAGACATGTGAGGTATTTAGTAAGAGGCATGGAGAGGTTTTTGAAGTTGTAATTTTTTTGTAATATTTTGTAAAGGTAATTAAATATATATTGGGGGGGAGGGGGTAGATGTACATCTTCTCTGTACGGATTTGTAATTTCTTATGAAAAACGAATAAACACTATTGGAAAACAAAAAATATATATTTTTTTAATTTTACATATGGTCCCCAGTGCAGTACAGAGTCATGTAATAAATAAATATAACTGGTGTGGCAGTGATCAGGGACACTGACTGGTAATCTAATATTTAAAAAAAAAAAAAAAAAAAAATTTCCTTTTTTTGTTACATTTTTCTTTTCTTTTGTTTTTACGATTGTTTTTTTAACACACTGTGACCAAAGCAAAAATAAAAAAAAGTTATAATCCTATACCCACAGTTGATCCAGAGGAAGGCAAAAAAACCCAGCAAAGCATGATCCAATTTGCACCTGCTGGGAAAAAAAATTCCTTTGCACCTGCTGGTCAACACAAAGTTCACTATATGAACCACTGATGTATTTATACATGTTGACCATATCCCCCTTAATCTCCTCTTCTCAAGAGAGAATAAATTCAGTTCCTCTAATATTTCCTCATAGCTGAGCTCCTCCATGCCTCTTATCAGTTTAGTTGCCCTTCTCTGTACTTTCTCCAGTTCCCCAATGTTCTTTTTGTGAATTGGTGCCCAAAACTGAACTGCATATTCCAGATGAGGTTTACTAATGATTTGTACAGGGGTAATATGATCTCTCTCCCCCCTCCCTACCACTGTAAGACAGACAGTTGCTCAAATCTAGATTATAACGAATACTGAAATTGAATAACACAGTGTAGACAGGGTTCATTATGGCAAGCAAAGCTTCCCAGCTCCTTGTAAATATTAGAGAAGGGGGGGGGGGGGGGGGGGGGAGGGGGTTGAGTAGGATTTTTCAGTTCTAGAGTTTTCATAAAAGAACAGTACAAAAATGTTTCAAAATGTCTGCTTACCCTTTTTAAAAGTTATGCTATGTGAATGGGAATATTTAACAAATATAGGTGTTATCCTAATTTTCATGCAAAAGTGGAAATCCACTTTTAACCGCTAGCCTACAGGGCACTTATACCCCCTTCCTGCCCAGGCCAATCTCCAGCTTTTAGCGCTGTTGCACTTTGAATGACAATTGCGCGGTCATACAACATTGTGCCCATATGAAATGGTTTTTTTTTTTTTTTTTTTAAACCAAAAACCACTGAAAGTTTTGAAAAACATGTTTTTTCTTAGTTTTTGTTATAAAATTTAGTAAATAAGTGATTTTTCTCCTTCACTGATGTGCACTAATGAGGCTGCACTGATGGACACTGATGAGGAGGCACTGGTAGGTGGCACTGATGGGCATTGACAGGCATCACTGATGGGCACTGATACATGGCACTGATACATGGCACTGATACATGGCACTGATACATGGCACTGATAGGCGGCACTGATAGGCGGCACTCATTTGCATTGATGGGTGACACTGAAAGGCGGCACTGATGGGTGACATTGAAAGGCAGCTCAGATGGGCACTGATACACTGACAGGTGGCACTGCTGGGGCTACACTGATCATCAGTGCCCTGATGATCAGCGTACATGTCCCCTCTGCGGAAAGCCGATTACCGGCTCTCCTCTCGAGCTGTCAGCGTGACAGCTCGAGAGGAGAGAAATGCCGATAAACGGCATTTCCCTGTTTACATGTGATCAGCTGTGATTGGACACAGCTGATCACATGACCAAACCGACATCTTCGTCTCTTTCTGTGATCGGTGATCCGCTGTGTCCGAGGGACACAGCGCATCCCCTGAGCTGCGCATGCGCAGTGGGAATGGGAGGACGTCATATGACGTCCTCCCAGAACGAGAGAACCACTTTGCGTCCGTCATATTACCATATGGCGGGAGGTGATTAACCACCTCCCGCCCACCCTATAGTACAATGACAGGCGCAAGGTGGTTCTCTCGTTCTGAAAGGACGTCATATGACGTCCTACCATTCTCACTGCGCATGCGTGGCTCAGGGAGCACGCAGCGCAGCGATCGCTGGTGCGCTATGTCCCTCGGACACAGTGGATCACGGAAAGAGCCGAAGATGTCGGCTCGGTCATGTGATCACCTGTGTCCAATCACAGCTGATCACATGTAAACACGGAAATGCCGGTTATCGGCATTTCTCTCCTCTCGAGCTGTCATGCTGACAGCTCGAGAGGAGAGGAGAGCCGGTAATCGGCTTTCCGCGGAGAGGACATGCACACTGATCATCGGGGCACCCAGAAATGCCACCTGTCAGTGCTCATCAGTGCCACATATCAGTGCATACCAGTGCACATCAATGCCACATATCACATATCAGTGCCCATCTGAGCTGCTTTTCAATGTCACCCATCAGTGCCATATATCAGTGTCATGTATCAGTGATGCCTGTCAATGCCCATCAGTGCAGCCTCATTAGCGCACATCAGTGAAGGAGAAAAATCACTTATTTACAAAATTGTATAACAAAAACGTGTTCTTTTTCCTTCTAAATTTTCAGTGGTTTTTGGTTTGTTTAAGAAAAACTAAAAATCCCAGAGGTGATTAAATACCACCAAAATAAAGCTCTATCTGTCTCAAAAAAATGATAAAAATTTCATATGGGTACAGTGTTGCATGACTTCGCAATTGTCATTCAAAGTGTGACAGCGCTGAAAGCTGGAAATTGGCCTACGCAGGAAGGGGGTATAAGTGCCCTGTAGGCTAGTGGTTAAAGCCTCAAGGTTGTTTACCTTAATGCATTCTATGCATTAAGGTAAAAAACCTTCTCTGCTGCAGGATCCACCTAGCCCTAATACCCCCCCCCCTTTTTATTCTTACCTGAGCCCGATCCGATCCAGCAAAGAGCACGAAAACAGTGGCTCTCGCTGCCGTCTCCCTCCTCAGTGGGCAGATTGATAGCAGCTCCTGCTCCTGTTAATCAACTTCAGTGACGAGTGAGTGGGGGTCGCTGCCGAGTCCCAATGTGAGTGTGGGTCGGGGCCGAGTTCCGATGTCTGTCAATCGATGCAGCAGCAGGGCTCGGGAATGAGCACTCAAAGTGCCCCCATGGGAAGTGGCTTCCCAGAGGGGCACTGGACAGAGAGGAGGAGCCTGGAGCGCCAGCGGGGGACCCTAGTAGAGGAGGTTTGGGGCTGCTCTGTGCAGTTCCATTGCACATAGCAGGTAAGTATAGAGATGTTGGTTATTTTAAAAAAAATTCCTTTACAATTGATTTAACGCCAAATAATTAGGTGTGATGCGTCATTACCTTTCCCTAGGTATTACTACCAGGATGTATTTTATCTGGAATGACACTTTGTTCTCTTTCCCAGGACTTCTTCAACATCTGTGGAACAGGTTAGAGAAAGAAGCTATCACAGGGCCTTGTTATTGAGTGACCATAGAAAAGATAAAGATGGCGGTAAGTAAAATGTGTTTAATGTTCAGGTCACCAGAGTGATTTACTTTGAAAGTTTAACCACCCCAAGACCAACGTATGTGAATATATACAACCTTATATTGAGACAGTTATACCGGCTTTTTTTTTTTTGTTGTTTTTTTTTTTTTTTTTCTTGTGGTTTTCCCTGGCGATTCTAGTAAAAGTGATCCAAGTGGCTATACAGCTGCTGAATCCCTATTTCAGACAACATAATTCTAGGGCCAGACCCTCCTGTGTAACTCTAACGTGGTAATCTGGAGACCCTTTTAAAGTGTTTATGGATAAGTTAATGTACTGTAGATTGTTGCTGAACATGTCTCGCTTTAAAATAGCCTAAACCCATGAAACCGCATCTTTTTTTTATTTTAACAAAATATTGGGTACTATGTTGTGTTTAGGTTCCCTAAAATTGTGTTTTTTCTTGAGGGAAAAAAAAAAATCTTTGTTTTCGTCACATTTTTGCGCAGTGGTTATTCAAATGGCAACAACCATCATGTTGTTCTCCAGGGCCTGTGCGTAAAAACATACATAATGTTTGGGGGGTTCGAAGTAATTTTCTAGCAAAATAAAATGCTGATTTTTACTTGCGAGAAATGTCAGATTTTACCTGGGGGTAAATGTGCAATAAAGTAAACTTTTGTGTCCACAAGAAAACATTTTCGCAGGGGATTAAAATGAAATGTGCCCTGCCTTTGGGTGCTTGTAGCAAACATACATTTTAGCTCCCTGTTTATCAGCAAATTGCTACAGTATTGAAGTCATAGTATATTTTATTAAACATATCTTATATGTATGTTCAGAATTTGTAACCATTCAGAAAGTGTTACAGCTCTGACAACTAGCAGTTTTTGGATAGGTTTGCATCTGTGTGGGTGGTGCCACTGCGGTAACCACACAGATTCCAGAAGCTTCAACCACCCCACAGCATGAAACGCTGGACCCCCTCGGTTCCCATGCGAGCTGTGATTTCCAAAGTAGTGCAGGGACGACTTTCCGACATGTCACAGCACGGCAGCCCATTAAAAACGAATGGACTCTGCACAAACTGCGGCCCGCATAGATTTGAACCTAGCCTTAAATCTTCAGTCATTTAAGTCCAAAACTTCTGCAGCAAGACTGACTTAAAGCGGAGTTCCAGTTAAAAAAAAAAAAAAAAAAAAAAAAGAAAAGTCAGCAGCTACAAAAACTGTAGCTGCTGACTTTTAAAATAGACACTTGCCTGTCCCTCGGTCCAGCCGGATGCCCACTGTACATCGCGAGAAGCCCTGCACTTTGTGAATGGCCCCGTGACAGGTCCCAGAAGACTACAGTGAGGGAGGGGGGATGACAACTTCTGCTTCCTATCGCCTTAGGCGATCGCAGCGGAAGTGGGAGCGGGTACCTGTCAAATTCGGGTACCCTCTCCCAAAGGTGCCAATCCTTAATGGGGAGTGGGGAACAATGGCTTAAAGCGGAACGTCCCCTTTTGGGTGGAGCTCCACTTTAATAGCCCTTTCATCATAGCCTGCCCAGACAAGCAGCTACATTTAGGATTATAAAATATCAATGCTTTGTGACATGCAGTTATATAACATTCAGTTTCAAAACAATGGAGTGCAGCGCTTAAAAAAGATGAAAAGTCAATAAGGTGATAGTACAATATCCACAGTGGTAAACTGTAGATACACGAATTCCCACGGCCTCCACTCTGTCAGAATAACAGAAATGCGCACTCACCGGAAACGCATGGGTTATGCGCATGTGTGATCATGCATCACAAGCAATAGGTGCATCAGAAGCCAGGCATCTCCCTCACGGTAGGTCATCACAGACTCCTAAGATAGGTCCGGGGGTCCCCTTAAGGTCAGCCAGGTACTTCAGAAAAAAACCTCGTCTCAGGATGGCAAAGTGCTTTTTCTATGGGAGTGAAAGCTCCAGGCAGGAGCCCCAAAAAACAGATGCCCAAAATAGTGTAGTATGTCCAAAAAACGAGTTTTTATTATTAGAACAATAGGGCAGTATGCAAGTAGTATATCATGTATAAATTAAAATACAGCAGTACTGACCCCAGTGATGGTGACCGCCGAGCCTCCTCGTGGCTCCGGCGGTGGAATGACGTCACGCTCTGCACAGTTCCTCCTTAGGCCTTTCGTGCTAAAGGCACATCATCAGAGGGGAGACAGTCTCCCCTCTGATGATGTGCCTTTAGCACGAAAGGCCTAAGGAGGAACTGTGCAGAGCGTGACGTCATTCCACCGCCGGAGCCACGAGGAGGCTCGGCGGTCACCATCACTGGGGTCAGTACTGCTGTATTTTAATTTATACATGATATACTACTTGCATACTGCCCTATTGTTCTAATAATAAAAACTCGTTTTTTGGACATACTACACTATTTTGGCATCTGTTTTTTGGGGCTCCTGCCTGGAGCTTTCACTCCCATAGAAAAAAGCACTTTGCCATCCTGAGACGAGGTTTTTTTTTCTGAAGTACCTGGCTGACCTTAAGGGGACCCCCGGACCTATCTTAGGAGTCTGTGATGACCTACCGTGAGGGAGATGCCTGGCTTCTGATGCACCTATTGCTTGTGATGCATGATCACACATGCGCATAACCCATGCGTTTCCGGTGAGTGCGCATTTCTGTTATTCTGACAGAGTGGAGGCCGTGGGAATTCGTGTATCTACAGTTTACCACTGTGGATATTGTACTATCACCTTATTGACTTTTCATCTTTTTTAAGCGCTGCACTCCATTGTTTTGAAACTGATTGTTTGTATTTGAGGCATTATGGTTGCCTAAAGTGTTCTAGCTGCTGACATTTATGAGAGCGCTCACTATTTATCTTTTGTATAGTTATATATAACATGGCATCATATCGTGTGGCAGCTGAACATGGGCATATTTTCCCCTGTTTATAGACCTAGCTGGTGACAAAGTCCAAGGTTTTAACTGTATAAATTAGTTCTAGTCTTTCTGATTTGCAGTAAAAGGTGCTATTTATTTGACTAGTGAATACAGTAAGTGAGACTACAGATGTACCATTACGTAACCAAAAAACTGGAAATGAATTGTACACCTGTTCTGCAAACACTAAAATATACTGTACATTGTTGGCCATTTGTGACTACATTTTATCATCTTTTCTATTTATTTTCATTTAATGACTTGTAGATGTTGATTTGGAGAATGGTGAGAGTGCAAAAGAAACCCAGTCTCCTGATGCATCACAGAAGAATTGCAGTAGTCCTAGACAGAACACGGTAAGATGTCAGTCATACCTAATGCATGAAGCATGTCACCAGTATTTAACATAAGCCTTTAGCAGGCATATACTCTCATATCTTGATTACTGTTTTTAAGAAGGATATTCATTTATTTTACATTTAGATGGCCAAGAAATATTTCCAACTTCATATTTATAGTTTGTGCAGGATCATCTTATGATTTTTTTTTTTTCTATTAGCATTAGTAAAACAAATCTAGGACCCTACAAACACATCTTTACTTGTATTTCTCTTGCTTTTTCTCTACAGCCTTGTTCTGCAGGACCTAAGGTTTCCTTAAAGACTGATACTTCCCAGGAAACCACTGTAAATACATCTTCGGCAGAAACGTCAAGCCCCTTCAAATCAGAGATGCAAGTGAAACAACCATCACTTTCAAAATCTCATGTTACTCAACCTCATTCACAGAAGCTGCCTTCTACACCTTTAAAGCTGCATTGTCCTTCCTCCCCTCATTTGGAACAGTCACCAAAGGCTTCACCACACACACCTATACAACATGGTTACCTTTCACCAAAGCCTCATTCTCAACAGTTAGGGTCCCCGTTCAGACCCCATCACCCTCCACCACATCAGACTGGGGCACCACAAAGAGAGAACCATGTTAACTTCTATCCTGTTTCACAAAATCTTCAACCTTCGACTCCCCAGCCAGCAGTTGGACAATTGTTCTCCCAAGCCCAGACAGGACAGTGTACAACAGTCTATACTGCTTTTAATCAACAAACTGTAAACAACTCTGCTCCACCTCCCCCTCCTCCTCCTCCAACAACAACAAACTTTTATCAAAACCAGCAGCCCTCTGGGTCTTTTCAGAACTACAGTCAAATCAAAGGAAGTATTCCCCAGCAAACTGTGTTTACATCCTGTCCAAACCAGGGCCATCCAACCACCTCTGGGCAACCAGCAATTCAAGGACATCATGTCAATTCGGGACATTATTTGCCTTCACAAAACTCTGCTGTCCATCTTCAGAGCACATCATCAAATGTCCCTCCCCCTCCACCACCTCCTCCACCAGGATGCCCTCAGCCCCATGTGGCAGGTGCAGTTCATGCTGTCCCAGTTGCTAGTGGCACTATTATTCATTCACAGACAACAGGACATCATTTGCCACCACCTCCCCCTCCCCCACCAGGCCCTAGTCCTCACCACTCGCACATGCAACATGTATCAGCAGGACATCAAGGACTGCCAGTGCAACACCAGCATGTTTTAAATGCAGCTCCTCCTCCCCCTCCCCCTCCTCCACCACCACCACCACCTCAATCCACCAATGTTTTAGGTGGGTCTGGACACCATTCGGCATCAGCTCAAGGATTGCACTTACAGACTCACCAAGGACCTCCAATTTTTCCTTCAGGAGCTCATGCCGGTGTAGCCTCATACTCAGCGCAAGCTCCTGTTCACAGTACAGTGGGACCTGTGCCACCACACCAGTCCCCTGCAGCAGGACCTCACCACCCAATTCCTAGTCAGGGGACTCATATTCAGCCACAAGGACCAAACAGTATTGCATCGGCTGCAGGGTTCTGTCCCCATCCTGGGTCTGTAAGTCTCCCCCATGGGGTGCAAGGACCACAGCAGGCTTCTACAGTGCCTGGCCAGATACCTATTCATAGACCACAGGTGCCACCAACTTTCCAAAATAACTACCATGGCTCAGGCTGGCATTAGATTTGGCGTTCACATAAATAAACATTTTTAAAATGTTGTGTAAAATAAACTGTACATTTTATATGTACCTTACAAAGGTACTTTTTAAAGCCTGTATATGGAAATTTGTAAAATTCAGTTACCAGTGCGCTTTCATTTTATTTTTATATCTGTGCTTTTAAGCCAGTTTCAAGTCTTTAGATTAAGTATACATTCCAGTTATGTTTGATTGCAGTGCAGTTTGTGCTGCAGAACATCACCTGTCGAAGTTCAATTCATTTAGTGAATGTTTTGTATTGTATGTTTTTATACATGTGATTTAAATACACAGGTAAGAGCACTAACACGTTTTATTTTTTTCTGTGCTGTGTGTGAGTATCGATAACACGCCAGTTTTCAATGTTACATTGCTACCTTCTTGCTTATTTACACAATTGTAATTTAATGTATAGTTGTTTTAACAATTTAACTTCTTTAGAAGTTTTGTAAATACTGTATTTGCCTGTATATTGCTTTCAGCTTCCACCTCATTTGATAAAACATTGTACATAGTTTTTTTTTTAATTGTATGATCCTTGTGGAAGTAGTACAGTATATGACATTTACATTTTTTTTGTAATATACTGTCACATTGCAGCACTGGTTGGGCATTTTAATTCATGTTAATAAACCACAATTATGTCTGTTTTATCAGGTTAGTCCTTTCATACATTTTACAAAATGTTGAGGCATAATTACAGCACTTAAACTGTACATTAAAATGCATTGTCAGTACTTTTTCCTGACTATTACAGAACCTTTGTATTGTGTTTTAATTTCATTTCTTGCATGATTGCAGTGTTAACCTCTTTTCCATTTTAAACAGAAAATCACTCCATATGTGTCCTAACTAGGATCAGCAGTACTTGCACTGCTTATGGCATCATCAGTCGGCAGCTCTGCTCACCTTGAAAACCAGCTGCAGCCTGTGGATTCTGGAAGGTCAAAGCTTAGTCATAGCAAGCTATATTTGTAAACCATTATCAGAGCTACTTTATTGCAGTTTTTTGGCACAGGGGAGCTAAATAATAGAGATTGACAATGTAATTACTGTTCCTTCTAAATAGAACACATATCAGAAGTTTTGACTTGATTGGGAAAAGTACAAAACCTCTTTCAAATACAACTCCAATTCCAAAAAAGTTGGGACACTGATATTTGCATATTGCATTCTGATTAGAATGTAGATTTTACACAAACTCATATTTTATTCACAACATTGGAAACATATCAAATGGTTAACCTGAGAAAATGTACCATTTTAGGAAAAAATAAGGTACTTTTGAAATTGATGGCAGCAACACCTCTCAAAAAAGTTGGGACAGGCCATGTTTACTACAGTGTAGCATCTTCTCTTCGAACACTCTGTAAATGTCCAGAAACTGAGGAGACCAGTTGCTGAGTTTTAGGAGAGAAATGTTGTCTATTCTTTCCTGATATAGGATTCTACCTGCTCAATAGTCCTAAGTAGTCTGTCATATTTTTTCTTTTCTGATATATGATTCTACCTGCTCAATAGTCCTAGGTAGACTGTTGTTTTTTTTTCTTTTCAAGATGTGTCAAATATTTCCAGTTGGTGAAAGGTCGGGACTGCAGGTAAGCCAGGTAAGCACTTGAACTTGTCTAATACGAAGTCATGCTGTTGTAGATGCAGTTTAGCATTGTTCTGCTGAAATATATGAAAGGCATTCCCTGAAAATGTCATCTGGATGGAAGCATATGTTGCTCTAAACCTGGATATATCTTTCGGCATTGATGGTGCCTTTCCAGATGTGCAAGCTGCCCGCTCCATATGCACTAATGAACCCCAATACCATTAGAGATGCAGGCTTTTGAATGGAGCTCTGATAACAAGCTGGAAGGTCCCTTTCCTCTTTAGTCTGAAGGATGTGGTACCTATGGTTTCCAAAAAGAATGTCAAATTTGGATTTGTCTGACCACAAAACCGTTTTCCACTTTGCAACAGACTATTTTAAATGGGCTTTTACCCAGAGAAGATGATGGCACTTCTGGATCATGTTCAGATATGGCTTTTTCTTTGCACGATAGAGCTTTACCTTGGATTTTTGCATGGCATAGCAAACTGTGTTCAGACAGTGATTTCTGGCAGTATTTTTTTTTTTTATTATATCTTTTATTAATTTTACCTTCTAAAACCAACAATTCAAATCTTACAATCACACGTTTTCCATATCAAATTTTACAAAATCCCTCCCTCGGCCAGTCACCTTCTACTATTCTCTTTTTTTTTTTCATCCTGTTCCTCTATCTACCTCTTCCATCTGTCCTCCACCTTCCTTTCTCCTTCCCCACCTAGCAGTAATGATAAAGAAAGGAAAAATAAACCTTCAATCTCTCCCCTTCCCCTCTTCTACACTTCCATCTGTTCTAAATATCTTAGTTGTTTTAAAGCCTATCCATTTTTTCCAGGTTTTTTAATTTTATCCTCTCCAATATGGTATAGTTCTTCCATCCTGTATATATACTCCACTCTGTTTATCCAGTCTTTTATTTTTGGTGTTTCTTGTATTTGCCAAAATCTAGGGATCAATCCTTTAGCTGCATTTATTAAATTAAAAATCATCATGTTCTTATCTTGTTTCACTGTAAAATCTGAGTTGTTAAATAAGCAGATCCAAGGGTGTTTCGATATTCTAATTCCCGTTATCTCCTGTATTTGTTGTATTGTTCCTTACCAGAACTCTTGCATTTAGGACACTCCCACCATATACAGGTGAAACTTGAAAAATTTGAATATTGTGCCAAAGTTCACTTATTTCAGTAATGCAACTTAAAAGGTGAAACTAATATGAGATACTCATTACATGCAAAGCAAGATAGTTAAAGCCATGATTTGTCATAATTGTGAGGATTTTCATGGCTTACAGCTCATGAAAACCCCAAGTCCACAATCTCAGAAAATTAGAATATTACAAGCAACCAATAAAACAAGGATTGTACATAGAACAATATCGGACCTCTGAAAAGTATAAGCATGCATATGTACTCAGTAATTGGTTTGGGCCCTTTTGCAGCAATTACTGCCTCAATGCAGCGTGGCATGGAAGCTATCGGCCTGTGGCACTGCTGAGGTGTTATGGAAGACCAGATGCTTCAATAGCGGCCTTCAGCTCTTCTGCATAGTTCGGTCTCATGTCTCTCATCTTTCTCTTTGCAATGTCCCATAGATTCTCTATGGGGTTCGGGTCAGGCAAGTGTGCTGGCCAATCAAGCACAGTAATCCCACGGTCATTGAACCAGGTTTTGGTGCTTTTGGCAGTGTGGGCAGATGCCAAGTTCTGCTGGAAAATGAAGTCTGCATCCCCATAAAGCTCGTCTGCGGAAGGAAGCATGAAGTGCTCCAAAATCTTCTGGTAGACGGCTGCGTTGACCCTGGACTTAAGGAAGCATGGTGGACCAACACCAGCAGATGACATGGCTCCCCAAATCAACACAGACTGTGGAAGCTTCACACTGGACTTCAAACATCTTGCAGTGTGTGCCTCTCCATTCTTCCTCCATACTCTGGGTCCTTGGTTTCCAAATGAGATGCAAAAGTTGCTCTTATCAGAAAAGAGGACTTTGGACCACTGAGCAACAGACAAGGTCTGTTTTTCTTTAGCCCAGGTAAGACGCTTCTGACGTTGTTTGTTGTTCAGGAGCGGCTTGAGAAGAGGAATACGACATTTGAAGCCCATGTCCAGGATGTGTGTGTGGTGGCTCTTGATGCACTGACTCCAGCCTCAGTCCACTCCTTAGGAAAAGGCCATTCAAAAGTGTTGGGGACTTTCACGACAATCCTCTCCAGGCTGTGGTCATCCCTGCTGCTTGTGCACCTTTTTCTTCCACACTTTTCTCTTCCACATAACTTTCTATTAATGTGCTTTGATACAGCACTTTGGGAACATCCAACTTCTTTTGCAATTACCTTTTGAGGCTTTCCCTCTTTATGGATGGTTTTCTGTACAACTGTCAGGTCAGCAGTCTTTCCCATGATTGTGATTCCTACTAAACCAGACTGAGAGACCATTTAAAGGCTCAGGAACCCTTTGCAGGTGTTATGGCTTAATTAGTTTATTAGAGTGGGACACTTTGAGCCTAGAATATTGCACCTTTTCACAATATTCTAATTTTCTAAGATTGTGGATTTGGGGTTTTCATGAGCTGTAAACCATAATCATCACAATTATGACAAATCACGGCTTGAACTATCTTGCTTTTCATGTAATGAGTCTATCTCATATATTAGTTTCACCTTTTAAGTTGCATTACTGAAATAAATGAACTTTTGCATGATATTCTAATTTTTCGAGTTTCACCTGTATGTGCCATCCCACACCCCTTCCAACATAAAGGTGAACTCTGTGGTCGTTGCTTATGTGCCACATTAGGTGTACAATACCATCTTACTAAACATTTATAGTTCATTTCTAATATGTTCATATATACAGCACCCTGTGTTAATTTAAATATTTTTTCTTGCTCATCCAATTTTTTTTTCCAAGCTCTTTTTCCCACTTTCCCAAGAATGGTGGAGAAACAGATCCAAATATATTAGTAAGGATCTTATAAATGCAAGAAATTACATGTTTACATATTGTTTCCTGACTGAAAAAATGTTCCAATGGATGTGGAAGCGCTGCAACAAAATGTCTCAGTTGATAGTAACGCCACTCATCCAACATAAAAAAATAAACTTTTTTTTTTTTTTTTTTAAATTTAAAAAAAAGAACACACAATTCCCCCTTTTCAGTGATTATCTTTCAAGCATGCATTTTTATCTTTTATCCATTTACCTGCAATATTCTCTTTCCCTGGAGGGAAGAGTTCTGTTCCCTCCAACGGTATTAACAATGAGTTGTACTCCCACCCCATTTGCTTATTAATTCTATCCCATAACCTTATAACATTCTGTGTTGAAATGCTTATATTTTCAGAAAAAATCTATACTGTTGTGGGAGCCAAATTGACTTATCTACACT